TTATATGTTCATTGCTGCACTGCTTACAATAGTCAAAATTTGGAAAAAAACACTAGTGCCCAAGAACAGATGACTGGTTAACGAAACTTTGGTACATCTACATTACGGAATACTATACAGCTATTAGAAAAGATGAAATTTGCATATAAGTGGATCAACATGGAAAGTATGTTAAGTGAAATGAGTCAGAAAGAGAGGGGCAGGCATAAAAAGATTGCACTTATCTGCGGAATATAAAGTAACAGAATGGGAGACTAACACCCAAGAGTAGTAGAGATAAGGACCAGGAGGTTTTTTCCACGGCTTGGAAACTGGCCTCACATGCTGGGGGAAAAGGCAGCTCAGATAGAGAAGGGAACACCAAGTAATGGATGTTGGGAGGACCCATTCAGGTTGAAAGCTGCATGCCAAAAGTAAACTATAGACGAAACATGATGGCTGCTCAATACCTCTATTGCGAAGCACAACATCCAAAAGGGAAGAGAGACCAAAAGGGAATGCCTTGCCACAGATGCGGGGCGAGGTGGAGTGGATGGGGTGGAGGTGGTGGGAGTGATACTGGGACCATTGGTGGTGGAAAATGTGCACTGGTGGAGGTATGGGTACTCAACTATTGTGTGACTGAAATGCAAGCACAAAAGTTTGTAAACCTGTAACTGTACCTCATAGTGATTCACTAATTTAAAAAAAATAACAAATGGGGATACATCAAATTAAAGAATTTTTCCATAGCAAAAGAAACATTGGCTTGGGACTGGAGCAATAGCACAGCGGGAAGGGTGTTTGTCTTGCATGCAGCTGACCAGGGTTTGATTCCCAGGATCTCATATGGTCCCTTGAGCACTGCCAGGGGTAATATCTGAGTGCAGAGCCAGGAGTAACCCCATGTGCAATGCCAGGTGTGATAAAAAAAAGCAAAAGGAAAGAAAAAAGAAAAAGAAAGAAAGAAAGAAGAAAGAAAGAAAGAAAGAAAGAAGAAAGAAAGAAAGAAAGAAAGAAAGAAAGAAAGAAAGAAAGAAAGAAAAAGAAGGAAGATGGGCTAAAACTAAAAGACAACTAACTGAATAGGATAAAATGTTTGCAGTAATCACATAAGATAAAGGGGTGATGTCAATAATAAAGCACACAATGATAAGCAATAACAACAAAATATCTATAACTCTATCAAAAAATTGGAAGAGGGAATGAACAGAAACTTCTCAAAGGAAAACCAACAGATAGCCAACAGGCATATGGGGAAAAAATGCTCACTATCACTTGTTATTCAGGAAAGCTAAATCAAGATAAAAATGAGATACCATTTCACACCAGTGAGAATGGAACATATCAAAAATAATGAGAAGAATCTGTCTTGGTAGGGATATGTTGAAAAAGGAATTTTCATTCCACTGCTGGTGGGAATGTTTTCTGGTTCAGCCCCTACTGAAAACAATATAGAGTGTTATCATTACACTTCAACTTGAGCTACCAATTACATATTGGGGTATCTACCCCTAGGACAAAGTAAAGTTCATGCAAAAGGAAGTGTGCACACTATTATCTATTGTAGCACTCAGTGTAATACCTAAGATTTTGAATCTACCTTGATATTAACAGTAGATCAGTGGGTATGAATATGATATGTGTATATCTATCTATATATACATGAACATGGTATGTATATACATACATATGTATATACCTACATAAATACATACAATAGAATACCATGCAACAACTGGGAATGATGAGACTATGCAATTTGATGAAACATGGATGGAACTGTAAGGTGTCATGTAAAATGAGGTAATACAGAAAGAAAGACAAGATAGTATCACTTATATGTGGTATTTAGAGTAACTGGATGAGGAAGTGCAAAGATTTAAAGGGGAAATGCCTAGATCACCATTATCCCCAGAGTATTATGGAGGAGAAGAAAATAAATGAGTGAAAGGAAAGGGGAGAAGAGATAGCTAAGAGGCAACGAGGGCAGGGGTCAAGAGGATTCAGGTACAGTGTCGGTATTAAGGAAAAATAGAGATAAATATCCAAACCATGGAGTCAACAACATTGAAATCACAAGACCCAAACTTTAATAATCAAATTTTAAAATATTCCCATCAAGATGACAGGCTGGGCTGATGCGGGGGAGGGACAAGTGAAGGAAAGGGAACTGTGAATAGTGGTGGAGGGAAGTTAACACTGGTGGTGGGATCAGTGATGCAACTTTGTATGTCAAAAAACATTTATGGATAACTTTGTGACTCATGGTGATTTAATAAAATAATATTTGGAAGAAAAAATAAAGGTTCTTCCATCATTTCAAAGAATATTCCAAGGACAATGATATTGCAAAAATCAATGAGGCACTAGTTAAGATGACAACTAACTTTTACCTGGATATATATATATATATATATATATATACATATATATATATATAGATTAACTGAGAAGCTCCAAGAGGCTATTTTTGAGAAATATTAATTCCACAAAAATACTAAATGATTTGTTGGAACTAGATAAAAAATGCATAGGCTGAGAAGAGGGAAGATAAAAGGAAGTATCACTGTCATTGTCCTCCCATTGTTCATTGATTTTCTTGAGCGGGCACCAGTAATGTCTCCCTTGTGAGTCTTGTTACTGTTTTTGGCATATGGAATATGCCATGGGGAGGGGGAGTTTGCCAGGCTTTGCTGTGCAGGCGAGATACTCTCGATAGCTTGCCGGGATCTCCAAGAGGGGCAGAGGAATCAAATCTGGGTAGGCCGGGCCGGCTGTGTTCAAGGCAAACGCCCTACCCGCTATGCTATTGCTCCAGCCCATGCTAGAAGAAGCACCTTTATAGGAAAGGACAGCTGCATACACATGCCCCTAAAGACCAGCTGAAGAAAAATATGTGAAGTTAAAGACAGTGATATTGATGACCCCAAGTTGTGTGTTTGCCTAATCTTTGAATAAAAATAATTCAAACTTAAAAATAATTTGAAAATAAAAAGCTTATAGGAAAATAATATAAATAAAAATCAGTTGGAGGAAGTTATATAATTTTTTTAAAAAATGTCAATCCAAGAATCATAATATATTAAGAATTTAAAGTTTACAAAGTAAAAAAGTTATAGTAAACAAATTTTAATGGGTCACTTAAATAAGAAAAGTAATAGGCCCGGAGCAGTAGTATCGTGTGTAGGGTGCTTGTCTTGCATGCAGCTGACCTGGGTTCCATCCTGGACACCACATATGTTCCTCTGAGCATCACCAGGAGTGATCCCTGAGCACAAAGCCAAGGTGAGCCAAAAAGAAATAAAAAATTAAAGAAGAAAATAAGAGATTGGAGAGGTAATAGAGTGGGTATGGCATTCTTGTATGTGGCCAACCTAGCTTCAATTCCCAGCACCACATATGATCCCCCAAGCCCTAAGAGTAATCCCTAAACACTACCTGATGTGGCCCCAAAAGAAGGAGGAGGAGGGGGAGGCAGAGGAAAAGGAGAAGAAGAAGGAGAAGGAGAAGAAAGAGAAAGGGAAGAGGAAGAACTGAAACAATAACAACAAGTGCCATTCACTCAGTGACCCACTCAAAACGACTTCCAGTCCTATAAGCTTCCTTTATGTTAAGTACCCTAAACAGGTGGGGTATTTTCATCTTTTATACTTCATTTTCACTGTACTTTTGTATGTCTGTATATTTAAGTATCCAAATATAGTCATTAAGTTCAGGAATTTAATGGTAATCAGGATATATATATATGTATATATATATATATTATATATACATATATTACAGGTTTCAAATCTAGGAGTAATATCTCATACTCTATGTCCTAGGATTTTAGTAGGCTCTCCATTCTATTGTGTACTTGTGTAACTACACTCTGTGACCCTAGCACGAGGAAAAAGTCACCTAACCATGCATTTCTCAGAATGTATCCTTACTGGAAAAACAAAACACATCACTCTTTTTCTTTACTGCCTACCAGTTTTAAACAAATTGGGCGTGCCTTCTATCCTGCAATGTCAACTTGGTAGATATGAAAATCTTGACTTACACCTTTTTCTTGAAAATTTTAAAATATTACTAAATTTTTTGTGTCATAGTACATTGTTACTTAAGAGCCCGATTACAGTATTTTACATTTTCTCATAAGTGTTTTATCTTTTTCTAAATATTTTTCTATAAAATCCAATACTTTGGGGAGAATACTATAGTGGGTAAGGCATTTTCTTTGCACGTGACTGACCAGGGTTTAATTCCCCCATACCTTATATGGTTTCCCCAAACCCACTAGAAGTGATTGATTCCTGAGCCCAGAGCCAGGAGTCAACTCAAAGCACCACTGGTTGTGGCCCAAAACACAAAAATAAAGTCCAGTACTATTACTAGATACACTTATGGTGTTTGCTATTATGGATTAATATTCCTTGTACACAGTGTGTTACTTCAGTGAATCACTTAAATATGTATTTGTGTGTGTGCATTTGTTCACTTCCCTTACTTTGGTTCCTTATTCAGGGACACCTATAATCTGTATGCTTTGTATTGTCTGCCTTCTTTGATGTTTCTTTCACTCATGTTATTTTTTTCTTCATTATTTTTATCTTTTAAATTCTTCTTAAAATTTTTACTTAGGGCTGACATGTGTGATGATCATAAAGGAGTCCCGGGCTAGACCACTGGCACTACATATCCCCAGAATACCTCCATGAGTGGCCACCATGCACTGAGTGATTATCCCCTGATTAGCTAGGTGTTCCTCCTGACAAACAAAAGCTAATTCTTAGAATCTGGAACCATAATACAGCAAGTATGGTGCTTGCCTTGCATGCGGACAACACAGGTTTAATTCCTGCCACCCCATATGACCTCCCAAGCCTGTCAGGAGCAATACCTGAGTACAGAGTCAGGAGTAATACCTGAGCACTACCAAGTGTAGACCCAAAACAAAAACATAGAAATGCTTAAAGGACAGATCTTAGTTTTATAGGCTATGTACTGCAATGTGAATTTTATTCCTTATCATTAAAAATTAAAAATTGTTCACATATTTGCCTATCAGCCTAGCATGGGTATCATACCAATCTTCTCTATTGCTCCAATATCACTATAAGCATTTCATAAAATGAGTGCAAGATGGTAGATCTTGCATTAGCTATTCATATCAGGAGTGACCCAAGGGGCAGTCCAATGGGCAAGAGCCTAGCCTTGTACGCAGCTGACCTGGACTGTACCTAGGGCACCCTGTATGGTCTCAGGAGCCCTACCAGGCATGATTCCTAAGTTTAGAGTCAGGAACAAGTCCTGGGAACTGCTGAGTGTGACCCCCAAAACAAAAAGAAACTTTCTTATAAGGAAGAATAAAAAGATATATGAGGAAATTTTGAGAAAATATCAAATTCTCTTTCTTCTATTGTTCTATTTATCTTAAAACTTTTTTACTGCTTACTCATGTGTGTATTTTTTCTAGTTTATTCTTTCATTTGTAAAATAACTTTTTCTGTTATTAAGATTCCCTTTCTGAGTTTTGCAACTTTTATTCATGAGCTTTTCTAACTCTAATTCTGATTTATAGTATTTTTTCATGTCCTGTATCATTTTGTTTTATAAGTTTTTAGGGCATTCTGAGGGGGAAGAAATACCTAGCTGTTCTCAGGCTCTGTGCACTGGAATCACTCTGCATGGTACTTGGGCAACCACATGCAGTGTCAGAAATTGAACCAGGGCTGGCCACCTGGCCATAAGGTAAGCATATTACACCCTGTATTATCTCTCTGTCCTGTATCATTTTTAATGAATCACCATGAGATACAGTTACAGACTTACAAAGGTTTGTGATTATGTTTCAGTCATACAACAATTGAGTACCCATACTTACACCAGTGCCCATTATCCACCACCAATGTTTCCAGTATCCTTCCCAACACCCCCATCTCACCCCCTGCCTCTGTGGCAGGCACATTCCCTCTTACTTTCACTCTCCTTTTGGATGTTATGGTTTGCAATACAGGTACTAAATAGCCACAATGTTTGGTCCATAGTCTACTTTCAGCACGAATCTTCCATCCCAAGTAAGCCCTCCAAGCCTCACTTATTTACTGGTCCCTTCTCTATCCCAGCTGCCTTTCCCCCCAGCATTTGAGATAGGCTTCCAAGCTATGGAGCAATTCTCCTGATTCTTATCTCTACTATCCTCAGGTGCTATCATTTTCTTCAGATAATTTATTATTTAGTAAGTAGCATAAAGTTTTTGATTTTTTTTTGGCATTTTTGGGTCACGCCTGGCGATGTTCAGGGGTAACTCCTGGCTCTGCACTCAGGAATTACTCCTGGAGGTGCTCAGGGGACCTTATGAGATGCTGGGAATCGAACCCGGGTTGGCCGCATGCAAGGCAAACGCCCTACCCGCTATGCTATTGCTCCAGCCCCCAGTTTTTGATGATTTTAAAGCATGGATCTCTCATATGTTCTCATGGCCTATGGGAAACTATTTTGCCTTATTCTTATTTATTTGAATAAGAACCCTTGATCACTTCTTCACTTGATCCCCCGTTATTCATCAAATTACTCAAGCGGGTGCCAGTAATGTCTCCATTCATCCCTGTTGTGTGCTAACGTAGCCCAATGGCATCTGTTCGTTCTAGCAACATGCAGAGCCTCAAACCGATCATTCAGGGTGTTGACGAGGAAGTCTGACCATCTTGTAGGTGGGCATCCACGCAATCTTTTGACGTCCCATGGAATCCAGTCAGTAATGGCTCTAGTCCAGTGGTTGTCTGTAAACCTCATTACGTGTCCAGCCCATCTGATTTTTGATGCCTTGGCAAATGAGACAGCGTCCCTGATTCTTGAGCATTGACGGAGATCAGAACTCCGGATTCTATCTCTCATTTGAGGGAATCGTGATGTTCCAAGCATAGCTCTTTCGATTCCTCTTTGAGAGACCTGAATAGCGTTCTCATCCTGTTTTCGTAGGACCCAGGTCTCTGAGGCATATGTTAATGCAGGAAGAACAGTGGAATCAAAGAGATGTGCTCGTAGCTGGAGGTTCTTTGTCCTTTTAGTTATTTCTTCAACGTTCTTGAAGGCATTCCAAGCCGCTCTCTTTCTCCTGCGCAACTCAGGTGCCAGGTCATTCATCATGTTGATTTCTCGACCTAGGTATATATAACTGCTGCATTCGGAGATGGTGGTTCCGTTGAGAGCGAATGGAGCGTCCGGAACGAGGCTGTTTCTCATAAACATTGTCTTTGTAAGATTCAGCTGTAGTCCGACCTTTCCACACTCACGGTCAAAGTCAGCCAACATTTGTGCCACTTGGCTAATGTTTGGTGTTATTAGAACGATGTCATCAGCAAAGCGGAGATGGTGTAGTTGCCGACAATCTATCTATCACTTCCATTCTTTCCCATTCTAGTCGTCACATGATGTTCTCGAGGGTGTCACTGAAGAGTTTTGGTGAAATGGTATCACCCTGCTGAACCCCTCTCTTGCCATGGATGATTACTTCTTTGTAGAATGGTGAGATCCTGGTAGTGAATCCATAATAGAGCTCACGAAAGATCATGATGTATTGAGTTTGTATGCCCTGATTGGCTAGGGCTTCTATGACCGCTTCCGTCTCAACAGAATCAAAAGCCTTCTTTAAATCAACGAATGTTAGACAGCGCAGCATCTTGAACTCCTGAGAAACCTCAATGAACTTAGTAATCGTGTGGAGATGGTCGATGGTACTGAATCCTTTTGTGAATCCAGCTTGTTCACATGGTTGTCCTTCATCTAGTGTTCTGCTAATCCTATTCAGGATGACTCGAGTGAACAGTTTGTAGATGATAGACAATAGGCAGATTGGGCGATAGTTGCCAACGTCGTGGATATCTCCCTTCTTGTACAGTAGTACAGTCCTGCAGGTTTTCCACTGGGATGGAACCTTGCATTCAGACAGGTGGCGTGTGAAGAGCCGAGCCAGTGTATTGATGAGTACTGATGGTAAGTTCTTCAGGTGTTCAGGTCTGATCTTGTCTGGGCCAGGTGCTCTTTGTTTCTTTACTGACGAGATGGCATGTTGGATTTCGAAAGGGAGGACATTGGGAACGACATCCATCATGCGGAATGTGGTACGTGGGCAAGTGGACATGGCTATTAAAGAGATCTGAGTAGAAGTCATGAATAATCTTCTCCATTGCCCTTCTGCAAGATGTCATAGATCCATCAGCTTGTCGGAGGGCAGTCATCTTGGTCTTGTAGTTGGTGAAAGACAGGCGGGCATTACGAATGCTTTTCCCAGCTTCTGCCACATCTACCAGCACCGCTGCTCTCCTGTCTTTGAGGTCATCCTTGATGGCTTCTCTGCATTGTTTTGCCAGATGGGACATTCGCTTGCGGTTGCCTGAGGCATTTGCCAAGCCACGTTGGTGAATAAGTTCAAGAGTGTTTGAAGAAAGGCGTTTTTTTGTGGTTATCTCTCTCTTGGCATTCCTCTCACAATCATGGAGGTGCTGAATCATTCGATCGTATTCCTCATCAATGTTGTCCATGACGGCATCTTCCCATGTTGCCGCAACAGAGCCAAAGAGCTCCCAGTTGGTGGTCGTTCTGGGAGTTCTCTTCTTAAACTTTGCATTCTTTTCTCCTCATTCTGTGAGGTAGAATTTTGCACGAAGGAGACGGTGGTCTGATCCCGTTTGGAATTTTGGGACAACACCAACATTGGTTAGGCAAAACCATCGATTGAATATGATGTGGTCTATTTCATTGTGGAACCCTTAATAAGATTTACTCTTGATAGATTTCTGTTGCTTATTTATATGTGAATTTATTTGACTTTTTTCATTTGGAGCCCGGCAAGCTACCAAGAGTATTCGATATGCCAAACACAGTAACAACAAAGTCTCCAATGGAGATGTTACTGGGCCCGCTCGAGCAAATCGACGATCAACGGGAGGGCCTTTACCTTTACCTTTACCATTTGGGGAATATACCTGGCGGTGCTCAGAGATTACTCCTGTCAGGTGTCCAGGACCCAAACAGGGTGCCACAGATCAAATCCAGGTTAGCCACATGCAAAACCTTACCCACTGTATTCTCTCTTCATCTCCAACTTGAATTTTCAAAGGAGGCATGACACAGAAATATTTTCTAATTTTATAGGGCACCTGTCTTTACTTTTGTGTAGTGTCATTCGATATAACTACTCATTTTTTGAAATGTCTTGCATCTGCCTACCGCAACTGTTACTTGGATATTTTTCCCCACTTTTCTATTTTTCCTAACATGTTCAGCTTTCAGGAGTTTCTCCCCAAATCCATCATGGAAATGGAGTACTGAAGGGTCATTATTACAATTTTCACAAAATACAATTTCATCACCTACAACTCTTCTTTTTGTTTTTCACCACACTTGGCAGTGCTCAGGGTTTACTTCTGGCTCTTCACTCAGAAATTACTCCTGTCGGTGCTTGAGGGACCATATGGGATTTTGGGAATCAAACTTGGGTCCACTGTGTGCAAAGCAAATGCCCTACTCTATCTCCCATCATTCCAGCTCCAAGTCTTCAACTCTTCTTAACATGAGCCCCGACTATTGTTATGCTATTTTTAATTTTTAAATATATTTTGGAAGTGGTTTTCCATGCATCTCACTGAATCTTTCTACTTATCATTTTCATTGTAACAAGTCATTCCATTAAGTTAAAATACAATGATTTTACAACCATCTATTAATGGTTACTTGGAATATATCCAGTTTTCCATGATAATAAATAATATATAATGCTTTCTTTTTCCTGAATCATATCCTTAAAGCAAATACCCTAGAGTGAGATAATTTAGTAAAAAGGTATGAACATTTTTATGACTCTTACTAAAAACTGCCAGATTATTCATCAAATTGACTGAAATAATTTACAATGCTACTAGAAACATAAAAATGTTTCAATTTGCCCAATATTTCCATCACTGGTTTTAATAATGTTCCTTTATTGTTGCTAAATTTAGAGCCATAAAGTGACATTTCATCATTTTTTAATTTACACTCCCTTTATTGTTGGCAAGGCTGCATACTGCTTCCTATGTTAATTTGCTAATGGTATTTCATCTTGTGTAATGATTCTTCATATTTCTGGCCACTA